TCGAGTATTATCTAGGTAGTCAAATAATACTCCTGATGTTTTTATCTAATATAATCGACAAAATATGTTAATGTCCTTCCATTTATCATTGAATCATTAATATGAACTAATAATTTTAATTGGTTAATCCAAGTGACTATTAAATCTTATACATCGATTGCACAACCTATATTTAATATTTCATTAGATAAATTTCTTTCTTTTTTCTAAATATACTGGTGATATATTTTTCTTTATTTTTTTCTTGATGATAATTATAATCATTTCTATATATAAAATCTCTAAACCTTCTTTCTACATAATTATTTATTCGAACTAGATGCTTCATTGTAATTTGTTTTAGGTCGTTTTGGTGATAATGGTGGTGTTATCAGTCATATTAAATGTAGGTTCATATTCATCTTCAGTATCTATTTCATAAATTACTCTTTGTTTATCCTCATCATCTATTTTTGTCATCCTAGTTTCTTCAATATTACATTTTTCTAATAATTGGGTTAATCTTTGTATGTCATCCATTAAAACTTGTTGGCGGTTCTATTTGAATTGGTTTAAATAATTTTTTCCGTGTTTTTTCTTTTTGTGCTAAATCACGTAATTCTTTTGTTGATTCTTTTATTTCTTGTGTTTTTTCTTTTTGTGCTAAATCTCGTAATTCTTTTGTTCGATTCTTTTATTTCTTCTAATTTTTCTGATGCTTTTAATTAAGTTTTCTTTATTATTTCTACAAGTGTTTCTATTCGTTCTCAGACTCTACAAGTGTTCCTATAATTGCGAAACAACCCCTGATGTTTGTTTTCTTCTCAAAAAGACCCATTTCTCTGCTAAAATCTGATGTGTTATTTATTTATTCACATTCTTGATTTAGAAGCATGATATAAAAAGGCACTTCCCAACTTCTGAAGAGAAATCAGCCTCTTAAGATCTGAGCTTTCACAGAAGCTCACCAAATAACATCACAACAGACTCAGCTGTTACACAGAGCATAAACTATGCAGCAAAACATATTCATCAAAAACCGATATTGAAGAGTTTAGTTTACACATAGAAACTTGAAAGTCACTTAAAATCTGTCACTACTGACAC